GTGGGTGCCCCGTGGTGGGGGGAGCCCTGGGCGCGATGGGGCCGGCGAGGGGCCATCGATCGGCCTTGGACTCGCCCACCACAGCGACTCCTGGCCAACCCCGCGCAGCCAGGGCCACCTCCCCAGTGGCACGGCGACCTCCAGGCTGCCGACAGTGCATGTGGCTTGGCCATCGGAGGACAGGCAGAGAAGGTGCAAGCCAGGAGGTCAAGCTCGCGATTTATTCCAGTCGCTCAGATTTTCACTGTGGGTGTTGTCAGATGTCTTCTTCGGGGAAGGAGCCTTAATGCCATCCCCACTGGTCAGCCCTGGGGCCGCTGCGCCCACCGGCTCCTGTCAGAGGGTGCTGGTCAGGACAGACTTGGGGGACGGGGGGACCCAGCCAGACTGCTGCCACCCTAAGGGCGCTATTTTCCAAGAGCTCGAGCTCTGGCTTAAGCGCTGGCCTGGGCGACTCTGTACCCTGGAGCGGACTGGGGGTGTCAGACCCCAGGCCAGCCTCGATCCCAAGGCCACGACTATCCAGCACCCAGGGTAGAGCTGTGTGCAGAGCGCAGGGGCCCCAGCGTGGGAGCCCCAGGCCTCCCAGCAGACAGGCTGGGTCGTGGGTCGGGCTGCTGAGACGGGCGCAGCAGGTGCATCGGCAAGTCCGGGCAGCCACCGGGTCCATGGATGGCGCTGGGGTCAGCACGTGACGGGCGCTACAGCTTGGGCTTCAGACACCCCACGACTGGCTTGTTGGTGGCAAACTCCGCCCACCAGGCCGGCCGCTCCAGCACTTGGCTCTCCTGGAGGACCGCGGCCCACAGGTTTTTGTAGAGCTGCAAAAGGCCAGGTCCCGTGAGGGCGGGAGCGGGCAGGCCGAGCCAGGACGCCGGACATCTCCGCGGCGCATTGTGGAGAGACACTCAGATAGCCAACGCCTCACTTACAGAGCCCTCCACTCTCCAGGACAGACAGTCAGAAAATGCAAAGGACACAGAGTACAGCTTTGAGGCTAACATCCACTCATGCTTTGGGGGGACTTCTGCTGGGAGGTGGACATTCTATTCTCAGACCCGCGTGGCCCGGGCTGCTCCCCGCCAGGCCACGGCCCTCCTCGAGGGGGCCCAGCATGCACCCTCCACTGGCCCCGCACACCAGCCACTGCAGCCTTGCAGGGGTAGAGAGGCCGGCCTGGACCACTCCCGCACTCTCCCACCCTGCAGGGGGGCGGGCAGACAGCCACCTCCTGGGAGCAGGGAGCGGGCAAGGCATGTGTCCCTCACGGAGCAGGACCCACACGCTGACCACTGAGTGGCCCCCCCAGCGCCCCGCTTTCTTGACTCTCCGAGAAACGGGCCCTGGAGAGCAGCACACTCCACCTAGTGGAGTTCGCGCTGCTGCCCACGGCCACCCTGGGCAGCGGCAGACGCCCTGCAGCCCCTGGTGGCATCCACCTCCCAGCTGGCAGCCCCTTTGTCTCATGCTGCCAGGGCAGGCAGCTCCCCCAGCATCAGGGCTGCCCAAGCACAGCCTGGGACGGCAGCAGGACGTGGCAGCGAGTCCTCCCCGGTGGTCACAGGTGGGGACCGCAGGGGATCACCTTCCATTGTGAAACAGCTGTGGGACGCAGGGACAGCTGGGGTGGGGAGCGGGGCTGCACACGCTGGAAGTCACAGAGCAGCGGCCAGAGGGGCACAGCAGGGCAGCCAGCTGCTGGACCCAAGGGAAGGTGGAGGGGGACAGCAGTGCCGAGGCTGCACTGACCGGGGTGTCCTCGGCGCTGTGCTGACCGAAGCATCCATCCGAGGACCGCAGGCCAGGGCCCTCCTGAGCACCTCGAGGGCCAGAGGCGCCGGAGCACATGGCCGGGGGTGGGGTGGCCCCAGTGTGGAGCCCCAGCCACGGTGCCGCCCTTACCTCGCCGTCAGCCCTGGCGATGGGCGAGTTCAGGATGAAGTCAGGGGGCGCGATCACGTCTACCAGGGCCACCGCATCGTCCTTCAGCTGTCGGGACAGAGCCAGCGCTTTGCCAGGCACCCGTGGGCAACCACGGGGCGTGTCCCTCCCAGACGGAGGCGGCCAGCGCTGACAGCTGCAGCTGGCTGGCCGCCGTCTCTGCCCCTCACTCAGCGCCATGGCCCTTCCAAGTGGAAAACGCGCCAGGGAGGGCAAGCCATGGCTCTTCAGCGCGGGAGAGGCGCCAGCGGCGCTATGGCTCCTTGTTCAGAGATGCCAGGAGCTTCCTGACATGAAGGGTTTCCCACAGCCACATGCATGGTTTCCCACAGCCACGCGAGAGGCCGGGTTGCGCTGGAGAGAAGGTGGAGCTCGGCATTGGGGCAGCAGGAGGCCCTGGGCCTCGGGGCTGGGAGCCCACATGGGGGAGCACACTGCCAGGGAGCACACCACCTGCCTGGGGAGCACACTGCTGGGGGAGCACGCCTCCCTGCCTAGGGGAGCACGCTCACCTGCCTAGGGGAGCACACCTATCTGCCCTAGGCTCTGGTTCCAGATGCAGCCAGGCTGCAAGACTTGGGCTGACACATGGCCCAAGAGGAAGCCCTTTGGGCTGGCCAGACACCAAGTCTGTGTTCAGTGGGTCCTGCCTTCAAGCAGGCCAGTGACAGTGGGCTGGGCTGTCCATGCCCAGGGCACGGTGAGGCAGGCCCAGCACTCGGGGCCAGCTCCCGCCCTGGTGAGGCAGAGGCTGGGACATGCCAGGCGGTGGGTGTGGCGGTGGCTGGTGCACGTGGCCTCCCCGCTGAGCAGTGTGGAGCAGTGGAGCACAAGGTGAGGGAGCTCACCGCCAGCGCCCCTGGGACCCGCCATCACCGCTGTCACCGTCAGAGCACACGTGTCATCAGGCCTGGCCGTGCCAGGAGGACACCACCCTGGGCACCACGGCTGGCGAGAGAAGCTGCCCCCGCCAGGCACTGCTTGCTGCTGTCCATTCTGAAAGCATTGGGCAGCCGACATGGCAGGGCCCCTCCGCGGCCACAGGAGGCTGGCGGCGGCCCAGCTCTCCCTCCAAGCTGGAACAGGCACACTGCCTGGCACAGCAGCCATGGGCAACGCCACCCTGGCACCAGCTTAGCAGGGTGAGGAGGTCGCCTCACATAGGCCACAGGCGCCAGGCCATGCCGCAGCATGGGGCCTGTGACCTGAGCGGCAGGCGGCGGCTGCCAAGTGGGGCGGCCCAGACACCCCAGCAGTTGCGCCGCTGCCCAGCCCCCTCCGCGCCCACCACAGCCCCTTCTCTGCAGCCCTGTCTCCTCAAACACCATGCGCATGTGCGGTGTGGGGCAGCGGCGAGGGGCCTGCAGAGGCCACCCCCACGCACCTGAGCACACAGGTCCAAGACGGCGCTCTCGATGGCCTGACCCGCCTGCTCGCCAGAGAAGTAGCCGCCTGCAAGCACGGGGGGTTACCAGGCTGCACTCTGGATGCTGAGTCGCCTGCAAAGGGCAGCTCACCCAAACACTATCCCTCAGGCACCCTCTCCTGGGGAGCAACCCCCTAGGGAAGCAGGGTGCCCAGCCCCTGGGGAGAACCCCTAGGGAAGTAGGGCACCTGGTCCCGGGGAGACCTCCTCTGGAAGCAGGGTGCTCCTTCCCAGGGAAACCCCCTCTGGAAACAGGGCACCCCATTGCCAGGGAGACTCCCTAGGAAAGCAGGGCACCCCACTCCCAGGGAGCACCCCTAGGGAAGCAGGGCGCCCCATCCCCAGGGAGACCACCTCTAGGGAAGCAGGGCGCCTGGTCCCGGGAGCACCCCGGGAAGCAGGGCCACGGCTGCCCTCACCTCGGTAGAGCAGGGCGCTGTGCTGGCTCAGGGACCAGAAGCCGTAGAGGGCGCAGAGCCGCCCCAGCACGGCCCGCAGGGAGGGGGGCACGCCGGGGCCGTGCACGAGCTGGTGGAACCTGCGCAGCACCGTGAGCTCCAGGAAGGCCAGCGCCAGGGGACGGCAGCAGGACACCTGGGGGGGGCACGGGCTGAGGGGGGGCGCCGGGGGGGGCACGGGCTGAGGGGGGGCACGGGCTGAGGGCACCCGACAGCAATGTGCCGGGCCAGGGGCCAGGAGCAGCCTCTGGCCAGATCACCACTGACCCCGGGCTTGGTTGCTGCCCAGTGGACTGAAGCTTACTGACCTCGGCCACATGCTGAATTCAGGGTCCCAGCCACAGGCTGCACCCACGGAGCCACTGGATCTATCACCTTGAGGGTTTCCTCCCGCAGAGACCGCCTCCCAGCCCCTCCAGACATCGCACACCAGGGTGGACGCCCGACTTAGGGGGTGTCCCGGAGCTGGGGCGACCTCACCGGCAGTCCCCAGAAGGGCTGACCCAGTGGGGAAAGCAGGGCACCCCACTCCCACGACCTCCAGAAGACCCGTGACCCCAGGTGAGGAGCGCTGTGCAGGCTGACCACAGAGGACCAGACAGGCGGAGCTGGCGCCGGGCAGCCCCTCCCGCGGGGATCACGGGCCTCCCAAGGCCAGCCGAGTGAAGCCGCTGGCAAGGCCGCGGCCACGTTCCACTCGTGGCCACCTCGGCCGAGGGCAGCACCGTTGGGCATCTCTGGGACACTCACACTAGCCGGGTGCCGGGCAACGGGCTGGCCGGAGTGCGCCGCCGCGCCAAGCGTGGACCCAAGACACGGCAGCAGGCAGAGACGGGGGCAGACGGGAAGGGGGCGATGGGGGGCAGGAGCCGGGGAGGAGGAGGAGGAAGGGGAGGGAGGAGCTAGGAGGGGGGAGGGAGGAGGCGGGGCGGCGCGGGGCCTGGGGCGGGCAGCCCACCTGGCAGTTGTTCCTGGCCTCGAAGTCGCTGCCTCTCGCCCTCCTCTCCTGCCTCAGTTTCTGGTGGCTCTCGCGGAGCAGGTAACACACCAGCCACTCGTACGCTGCCAGGGGCACTGGGGACGCCAAGGGGCAGTGACAGGCCTCTCAGCCGGCGGCCTCCGGCCACAGCGGGACGCGCCGTCTGCCAGGTGCCGGCCTGCCGTGTCCCAGACACGTGCCTACGCCACGAGGCCAGGCCGGGCCGAGCACCGCAGCACCGCTGCCCTCCGACCGTCCGGCCATCCGGACACAACCCCGCCAGGCACTGCGCAGGGCCCTCAG